GACTAAGCCCAAATGAAAAATTAAGGAGTGAAATACAAAAGTATATTGGTTATAGCAATTATGAACATATAGTAACTAAAATTTTCGAGTATTAGTTACTATTTTGCCCTACTTTTTATTTAAGAAAATCGGTATTCTTTTGAACATTCCTGGTCTTGGTCTTACAATAGTTAGGCGGCCTTGGTCTTGGTCAACTGCAATTCCAAAACCGATTTTGGGCAACACTAGTGATAAAGTTTTACATAAATAATAATGATAAAATTGTGATGGAAAAAATATTTATCAAAAAATAAAAATAAGCTTTTAGAAACTTAGTAATAATTAAATTAAATATGTATCTGTATGTATACAATATTAAAGTACACATTTTTCTTTTAATATTATATTTCTGAAATCACCCTAATTGTGCACGCGGTACCTTTACAATATATATGTTTGTATGAATATATATATATATATATATATATATATATATATATATATATATATATCTATATATATATATATATATACATATATATGTATATATTTTTTTTTTGGAAGCCTAAATTTCTTACGGATTTTGGAAGTAAAGATGTTCTGTTGCTAATAGTTGACAATATTCTCCACCACTACTCCAGACTCAATATATATTGTGTATCACAGAGATTAAAAAAAACTTGTATTCACGATTTTAAAAAGTATTACTAAATAATAATTATTATTATTGTTAATTATAAAAATTTTATTCAAAAATAATGATCCGGATATGATTATCACAATCAAAATCGAATAGTAATTTATATCAGAAAAATACTTGTGTATCACTATACTACTTGAGTTTCATTAATACAGAATTTTTTTTTAAATGTATGGCGTTCAAAGGCTGAGTGCTTTCATCTCCGGAAGATACTGCTCCAGGTCTAACCTTTCACGAGGTCAGAATACAATTCTGGTGTTTGTTCATCCAATGGTGTATTTTTTATTTTAATAATTGGTCCGTTGCCTCTTATTTGAACATTTTGTTCACTTTAACATTTATAAGATCTTATTATTGTTTTTAATTTTTAAACTTTCTTCGTTTTTTGCAATATTTTAATATTTTTAAGTGTGTTTAAGAATTTTTACTATTTCATACTTATTTTTAAAAACTAAATATTGATATTAATGATACCATTTTGTTGTTAAGCTTAAATTAAAATAATCGATTGCTTTTTAAGTAAAAGAAAAGTTATATGAAATTATTATGGATTTATTATAAACTATGTATATTTAGAATATAAAAGAAAAATAAGTGTATTCGAAATAAAAAGACGTAATTGCCCGGGGGCAATAGTAGTATAACGTATAAAGTATAACGCCGGCATTGTACCAATGTGTTGATACCAATGTGTTGATGAAAAAATAAACAAAATTAGAAAAATAAATAATGGGTGGAAGAAAAATAAATCAATAAACTATTTAAGTATACAACGTAATATTATCATATATATATATATATATATATATATATATATATATATATATTTTTTTTTTTTTTTTTAATTTTTATTTTTTATTTTTTTTTTTTGGTTGGCACTACAGACCAAGAAGATCTTTGGCCACGAGATGTGGTCTCCTTACAGACGTGTGGTACTTACGGGAGCTAAGATAGCCTGGAGGGGGTCACCCATCCTCTCGTTGCTACGAACCATGGTTTCCATGGTGCAGCGGCAAGCCATCCGTAGCTCCATAGCCGATCCCTTTTGGGGCCAATCTGGCAATGTCCTTCCCACCGACTTTCTCGGGTGCAAATACAGTGACAAATCGGTCTAGATAAATGGATTATGGCTGCTTGAAGTCAGCAGACTCAAAACCGAACCTCGGGGAGGGGAGGCTATTAACATCCTGGTAAACCACATCCCGATTCCCGATTTAAGTACACGGGGTAGGGTCATCAGTCCTACGCTCGGTCGGTGTGAGTTGCCTCCAGTAGGCTGACGGACCTCACACACCGGGGGGGGGGGGAAAGACTCGGGCAGCATGGCTTCCCCTGGTGGATGGTCACCCAAATCGGGCGGTCACCCATCCAATTACTAACCACGCTCGACGTTGCTTAACTTTGATTACCTATTGTAAGCGACTACCCCAGCCCCATATATATATATATATATATATATATATATATATATATATATATATATATATATATATATATATATATATATATATATATATATATGTATGTATTTTTTTTTTTTTGCATGATGACTGTACATAGAAAGTGCGTTGTTTAGTATAGTAAAAATGAATGAATATTGAAAATAATCAACAATGGGGCTATTGTAAGTTGTTGAGTGATTGAATGCAGTATCACAATATTTGTCATCTTACTTTTCTATTACTATTTTTCTTTTATGAAATAATTATCACAACTAGACGGCACGTCGAGAAACATTTATTCAACAATTTAACGACGTCTGCCTCAACTATAAACAACAACAGAAATGACAATAATAAATTATTCAGTTTAATGACTATAATATAACACTATGCAAGATAATCTAGGATGGATTGCGGAGCAGTATATCACATTGTGTCCAATCCTCTTTTGATATTATTATAATTGGAGGAGGTTATTGAACTCGTTAAAAGTTCCTTTGAAGTAATAAAGTGGTGATAGGAAAAACTACACAAATAGTGCAGTAGCTCTGCCATCTTTATTGTCATTTTATTACCGACTAACTCTTCTAGAAGGAAAGTGATCAATATTATTTATAAAACTTAAATTTATGTTGTTATTTTTTATAATATATTGTATTTTGCCAGTGTTTATAAATTAGTTGTATATTCTAATAAAAATTAATATTTTACTATCGATTATAGTTAGTTAGAATAGAATAGAATAGAAAAGAAACTTTATTCTGAGACAAAGCCTCCTCAGAATGACAACGATGAACAAATAAAAAAAATACATATCTGGCCAAAAACTAACTTAATAACAATTCTACAGTAATTAAGTAATAATGTGTAAAGAACTAAGAAAAAATAAAAATAAAATAAAATCCTTTCAATAATAGTTATAGTTATAGTATAATGTGAGAAACAAAAACAAAAATAATATATTTATCACATATAAAAAGAAAAACCAAAACCTGGAGAAAAGAAACAATGTTTTTGGTGTTAAAAACATGAACAATAGGCTGACTTAATAAAAAATTCTAATTTATATAGTAATTTAAAAAATAATCTGTAAATACTAAAAAATAAAATTAGAATCTCCTCAAGAATAGTTACAGTTGTAGTGTGAATAAAGAGAACAAAAAATATATATTGCATATAGAGCGAAATCAAACATAAAACCTGTCTAAACGAAAAAATAACAAGTCAGTTATATGAATGATTATTAATTGTTTTAACAGCATTGGGATAATTATATATGTCTGAAACAGATAGGTAATATGTATAAACAAAAATATATAAGGAAAAACAAAAACAACACCAATGACCCATAAGGGTAGAGGTGATAGGGGGCGGGGTGACCGAATGGGCTAAAGCGTGTGCACTGCACCGCGAGTTGCCTGTTACTTGGGAGGACGAGTTCGCAGCATAATTAAAAATTGAAAACTATAAATAATATAAATAAATGATTGAATATTTTTTGATCTTTTATACATATTTATGAGGAGCGGGATAACTCAGTAAGTTGGGAAATGGCGAGCTAAGCTCAATGTCTCAGGTTCGAATCCTGCTGATGTCAATGAATTTTCATCAGTCTTGGATCGACTCTGGGGTCGGGAGACCCTTCTGGGGCATAGTCAGCTTCTATAATGAAGAGGAAAAACCTGACATAATTAGTAACATTATGTCGTCTGGAAGAAATATGGCAATTCAAACGATAACGATATTTTTAATTTTGATTATCAATATGATAAGACTTCTATTTTGGCAGTAGTAAATTTTTTAGAACTTATTTTGCTTATTCATTATTTATGATTGTAGAAGCAACGTAATTTCTTTTTGAAAAAAAATAAATAAAATTTTAGACCTTATTTAAGAAAATTCTGACCAATCAAAATCAACATTATGATTAGATATATTTAAAAATTGAATAACAAAATATTAGTATTTAAATTAGGTTATTAATGGGATGTTGTAATAACGATCAAAATTTAAAATTTACAAATGATAGCAGATATTTAGTAAATAAACAAAATAAGAATATTATTTGAATAAGAGTTTTTAACACTGTATAATTCGATTAAAATGTATCAATATCGTAATAAAAATAATAATAATTTATTAATAAAATTTATCGATCAAGTTGGAAATATTTGATTTATTGCAATGAAATAATTAATAAATCTACAAAAAAAAAATGCAAGATACAAATAATAATAAATATTATAAACAAAATAAAAGTAATGGCACTGTTTTGTTTTTTTAAAAATAACTTTGCCTACTTGCCCTAAGTAGCCTTAAGGGAATAACATTAATTTTTCCATAAATTGAAAAATATTTCTATATTTAAAAAAATTAATTTATGCTGATTATGTCATAAAATTGGCTTTTTACAACTGTGGTAATTTAAATGTTAAAACTCTACAACATAGTGTAATTTAAAGGCATTGCCAATGACCCTACAGGGTAGAGGCCACAAAATACCAAATAAATAAATAAATAATTTAAATAAATATATCAGGAGTACAAAAAAATAATGAAAAAACAAAAGTTTACCAAATAGTATTAGCTAAGCATGCAGAATGGGTATTTTATATTATTAAGAAATAGGATAATTGGCATAGTATTTGTTATTTATATATAAATTAGATATTTTAATAGTACTGTTATTTGGCTATTTGAAAAATATTAATAAAGAATCTGTTACTTCGTCTTTGACTTACCCAAACAGCCTAACCTAGGATACGATACTCGGATGACACATTGTCCTAGGATCTCGGAGAGGGGGCATCGTGTGTCATTGAGGAATGAGGTATATATGGCACATAGTATTCTGTACTAGCTAGTGTCAAACATGAGGTCTATCATTGTCATCTCGGCTCTTCTAGCCATAGTGAGTACTCTTCTATAATGTGTGTACACTATGAGTAGAGTGTACGGTACTATCAGTACGTTGAGTCGAGTGTACTCGTTCACTCCGGCAGGCAGGGATGATACAGTGGACCATCAAGTGCCGAGGAGTACTGTAGTATAGTTTTTTTTTATAAGTTCGGAATCAGTTACTGTAATGAGTGAATTAACTAATTATCATTAGGGTAACCGTGATATAAAAACATTTATAGAGGATAATAAAAAAATAACACTGAAGATGTATAATTCCAGTATATTAACAAACAAATATATAAATAATTCTAACAGAAAGGATACTATGTAGTGATTTTTAATTTTCAATAAATACGTAAATAAATTCCAAATATTGTTTAAAATTGGATAAACACGAGTTTTACCAAAAATCCTCTATATTTTAAATTTAAATCAGATTTTGATTCTGATATATTTAGAATTTACTTATTATTTTTCCAGTGAAAAAAAAAGTATTTGAAATTATAATTATTTGAAATAATAATGTTAATAGATTTTTTATTTCTTGAATTGTGTAATTTGAGAGTAGTACAAAAAAAATAAATAAATAAAAACATGGTTAAATTATGCCATTTAGAGCCCTTGAATTTCAAAAAAAGTAATTTAATTAAATCTTTAATGATTTTTTTTTAAATACGCAAACAAATTTATGATAGTATTGGTATTTTTATTTTATTTCTACAAAAAAAAAAAACTACATTGTCAAATCGAAAATGAAATCAAATCGTAGAGTTTTGTTTCTTTTATTGCCACTTGAAACAATTTTTCTTATTCATATTTACTACTAAAAATCATCAAATAGGTATTTAAAATTATTATTATGTGTTGTTATTATTATTAAAAAACTTAAAAGTATCTACTTTTTTTTAAATGATAAAAAAAGCTTTTTTGCCTTTTGTTTTTCTAGACTAGTGAAAATTGTTTAAAACTCCTTAAAGTTAAAAAAGAAAAAAGTTGTACCAAAAACTTCGGAATAGAACTATTTTTGATTCTCATTTTATTTTATTTGAGATAAAATCAAACAAACGAACCACACTTGTTTTTATAGTGAACGAGAATTTGATATGATATATTATTTTAATTTTATTTTTGATTTTGATATTCCCAATCATTATTTTATAAATGATTCACAAAAATATCATTTCTCTGACTATACTAAATTCTCCACCGATGATACTATTATTTAAATTAACAAAGTAATTTAGAAACATTATATTTGTAATATTAATATTCACTTCATATTATATATAAAAAAGAATCTTCTGATAAAATTTTACATATATATATATATATATATATATATATATATATATATATAATAGGAATTAGAAATAAACATATTTAAAGGAAATTTGACTTACATTTTTTAAAATAATAATTGGGCAAAAGTTTGAATTTGATAAAATATGTTTCTGTTATATTGTCACATTAATAAATTATAATAATGATTTCAGTTAAATATTCTAAAAAAAAACAACGGGTTAACTAATTTTTATTTCATAAATTAAAGAAATTTAATGCCTAATGTGCTGGTAAGAGTTGTGTAGATGACATAAATGTTTAATTTTATCAGACAAAGGATACTAAATATTGTAAAATGAAAGAACAGATTTTCATATGAAAAAACTTGTTCTAGTTTTGTTTGTTACCATTCACAGTAGATCCTAGTAAATATTTCATATAATTTTATTTCTTGATGTTCTTCATTTTTACTAGTATTTTATGCTATCAGAAGTTTATGTATGTCCAAATCTATTAAGACAATTTTATTGAATATTTAAACATTTTAGTATATTAAAGTCTCAGCTCGCTCCACCTTTACGAAAGTTTAATATATAAAAAGGATTGGGCGATAAAAGGCGTTGAAGGTCTACATTTTTTATAAATAAAAGTTCATAAAAAAAAAAAAAAATCTCCAATATTTACGAGTGAAATTAAGTAAATGAAAAGAAATAAAAAGGTTGATGGGGTTATTAATCAGGGCGTATTACAACAAAAAAAAAGAAAGATTGATTTAATTTCCGTTTTGTCGTTAAAATATCGATAAAATTAATTTAATTAAAAATACGATTGTTGGAATGGTCCTGTACAAAATATTAATCCCTGTCACTTACTTTATTACAGCTATTTATTGCCATAGTTAAACAAAATATGAATATGAAGAATTTTCAATGTTTTATGTAAAACATACAGAAATAAAGTTTTCTGATAATTATTTAAAATTATATTAATATAATAATGATACTGGCAGACAATCTGAAAATAAATTTATTCAATTGAAAGTTTTGCAAAATCAATTCATATTGCTGTACTAATATGATTTGTATTTAAAAATTATAAAATCTATTTACAAAAAAATAGATCGAATCTGCAGATTGCACTAACAATAGATATTTTTGAAGTGAAAACTTTTTTTGGCGCGTTTTGCACTTTTTTTTGTGAAACTTAAAAAAATCAATCTATTTTTCAGATTTCCGAAGTTTTAACACTCGGGTAAAGTCGGCTAGAGTCGACCTATTGACATGTTTTTACATATGGATTAAAATATCTCAGAAACTAAAAACCTGCATAAACTAAGGACCTGCATACTGTAAGCGAGGGAAATGATCAGCATTTCATCTTCTTTTTAATGAGCCATTATTTATAATTATTATTTCATATTATTAATCTCGCATTGTTGATGTTTTCCCTTCTATCGTGTGGTCTAAAACACAAACCTTAGATTTTTTTTTTTTATAATCGATATGAGATAAATTGATAAAATATAAATTTTACGATATTCAGTAAATGTATAATATTTATTATAAAAATAGAAGTTTATTTGGCTTAGTTTTGATAAATGACTAGATATATTTATTTTGTTTTTGTTTATGTATAAATGGTTTAATAAAGTTTTAACTGTATATCAGGGGCTCTAATCTACGGCCTGCAAGCACCTTCAATCCGGCTCGAGAAACTTCTTTGATTACATGATAAAATTTGTTAAAAATATTAGTAAGCAAATTACTCACACACGAGTTTACTAAACAATTTTTTGAATGTTTTTTTTTTCTCCTAGAGCGCTAGTTTCACAGTTGAAGTGTCATTTATAGAACCAGGTTTTTTTTTTCATCATAACCCATTTCCCGCAGGATTTTGATTGGAGGTCTCAATGTTACCATTGGTCAAAATTAGTGTTGCCCTAATGCGAGACCGAGACGAGTCTTGATCTTGCAAACTCAGTCTTGGCCATGGTCTTGGTCTTGCGCAAGCGTCTCGCAGATACTTATTAGCTTATTACTAGAGAGATATCACTATAATTTTTTAGATACCAGAAACCTAACTAAGCCCGAATGAAAAATTAGAGGAGTTAAATGCAAAAGTATATTGGTTATACCAATTATTAACACATAGTAACAAAAATTGTCGAGTATTAGTAACTATTTTGCTTTAATTTTTATTTAAAAATTCGATTTCCCGCATTTTCCGCAGGATTTTGATTGGAGGTCTCAATGTTACCATTGGTCAAAATTAGTGTTGCCCTAATGCGAGACCGAGACGAGTCTTGATCTTGCAAACTCAGTCTTGGCCATGGTCTTGGTCTTGCGCAAGCGTCTCGCAGATACTTATTAGCTTATTACTAGAGAGATATCACTATAATTTTTTAGATACCAGAAACCTAACTAAGCCCGAATGAAAAATTAGAGGAGTTAAATGCAAAAGTATATTGGTTATACCAATTATTAACACATAGTAACAAAAATTGTCGAGTATTAGTAACTATTTTGCTTTAATTTTTATTTAAAAATTCGATTTCCCGCATTTTCCGCAGGATTTTGATTGGAGGTCTCAATGTTACCATTGGTCAAAATTAGTGTTGCCCTAATGCGAGACCGAGACGAGTCTTGATCTTGCAAACTCAGTCTTGGCCATGGTCTTGGTCTTGCGCAAGCGTCTCGCAGATACTTATTAGCTTATTACTAGAGAGATATCACTATAATTTTTTAGATACCAGAAACCTAACTAAGCCCGAATGAAAAATTAGAGGAGTTAAATGCAAAAGTATATTGGTTATACCAATTATTAACACATAGTAACAAAAATTGTCGAGTATTAGTAACTATTTTGCTTTAATTTTTATTTAAAAATTCGATTTCCCGCATTTTCCGCAGGATTTTGATTGGAGGTCTCAATGTTACCATTGGTCAAAATTAGTGTTGCCCTAATGCGAGACCGAGACGAGTCTTGATCTTGCAAACTCAGTCTTGGCCATGGTCTTGGTCTTGCGCAAGCGTCGCAGATACTTATCAGCTTATTACTATAGAGATATCACTGTAATTTTTTAGATACCAGAAACCTAACTAAGCCCGAATGAAAAATTAGAGGAGTTAAATGCAAAAGTATATTGGTTATACCAATTATTAACACATAGTAACAAAAATTGTCGAGTATTAGTAACTATTTTGCCTCAATTTTTATTTAAAAATTCGATTTTTTTTACCAGTCCTGGTCTTGCAACAATTAGGCGGCATTGGTCTCGGCAAAGTGCAAGACCGAGACCGATTTTGGGCAACCAACACTAGTCAAAATGTTTGGAGACCCCTGTTTTGTAGCAAGAGATTTGACTTTTATATATTAAACATTTCAAACATATCCCTCATATTACCATCTTAAATATGAGCATTAACATCAAATATGACAAGAGTCATTAATAATCAAAATTTCACTTAAGCTGATATAAGATTATTTTTATTCTCTAAAGAAATATATTTATACTGTATATCAAAAGTTATCTAAATAAAAATCAATACAACTATAAAAACAAAACAAATAACAGTCCCTTAAAAGATAAAAACAAGTTTTCATTTTTTTTCCGAATTCTGCTAACTGACTGGAAAACCCCCAAAAAACAGTATATTTTCTTAAAATCATTAGGCGTATTCAATGAAAAAAAAACATAGACGAAAACATTTTTTTTATTTTATGAAATTGGAGTTAAACATTACGATGGATTGAATCATATATTGGCCATTGTACTAAAATATGGTAAAAATCTTTGTTTACATATTGGACAGTTATTTTGAAGGTCCGATTTGACTAATAAATAAATTTTATTTATAAATAAATAGATGTAAATATTTGATGCATCCAAATTTCTCAATAGGTCGCCGACAAGTCGCCGTCTTTTTGATATACGTGCCAAGATTAAATTAATTTTAATTTCGTATGAATTATATTAAATAGTAGGAATTAAAGAGCGTGGTAAACATGTTACTGACATCTTGGTTCAGTATCGATGAAATGATCTTATGTGAATGAAACGTGGTCTCAAGTAAGATATCTCGTTCGGATCGTTAGCAAATTATTATTAAGAAAAAAATATGTGTTGAACCCTTCTTGATACAAGGATCAGTTTCGACATTGGATGATGACTCCAATGACAACATTAGCAATTAATACGTTCCGAGACCCAGATAGGACCATTAGTCCGCTAGTTAAAAACGATTTCGATGTAAATACTACAATCGATTAATATGGTCTGATCTCTTTGAGTTACATAACCTAACTTTTAACCTTGAGGTAAGTGAAATAAGGCTCCACTTGTTAATAAGATCTATACGTGATTAAAAAAAATTATTCTTATATTAATGCTCTTTTTATTAAAAACATTCAACGGATCTCAATTTGATAAAATGGGGTCTGTACCACGGACTAATATGTATGAATGTATGGTAAAAACGTCAGTTTTAGGTACCTTCTGCAGTTATTGAAGAATATTGAGCGTTGAAAATGGTCTAGATATGGCGAAAGGCGCTCATTATAGTTTTATAGGTCGAAAAAATCACTGAAGATTAGAAACCTGACAGACGTCGCCCAGGAAAGACGTGTCTTACGTATTTGACAAGAAACACACATTCCTGCAAAATATCGTTTTAATTCTTTCACTTCGAAGGCTGCCATATTTAATTCTTTAGTTTTTTGAAAATTGGATGAGAGGTGCCGAAAACTGGCGCATACTAATACTTCTACATTTTCCCCTTTCCAATAATGAACCGAAAATAGTTGACCAAGTACCCGCGTGAATAAAAACGGTACAATCACATTTTAAAATTGAACGGTCCCAAAAACTTGTGCAAAATATCTTGAACACAGGTGGCCTTCAAAAATATTGAGCCGTTTGGCGTGACCTAAACCTCCAAATTATCAAATTAATGAGGTTATATAGCCCAAACGGTCCAATTTGTTTGTAGGCCATCTTTTTTCTAGACTTTGTGCTCAAGATAATACGAGTTTTTAATACCTAATTAAATAGACAAAGTTTGGTGACCTGCAGATTGAAAACTAACTAATTCCCAGAATTTTTGCAAATAAATTTTTTGTAGTTTACGTTGAGATGAGGCTATTTACGAAGTTTCAGCCGGATGTTAATAATTTCATGAAAAGGGGTCTGTCTAATTCCAAAAATTTACAAGAAAAATTATCTTAAATTTATTATTCCAGTCCACGGCCATAAAGTTTTATTCACACAATCTAATAATATTTATTATAATATTAATTTAGGAAATGATTTGCTTTTATTTAATCAAAATGAGTCCAAAGCACATCTCTCCATACCTTTCATTATCCTAGAGGTGTTTGATTACGAATTGTATTGAAAAAAATGATATCATCATGTTTTTGAACACAATGCAGTATAAATCTACTATCTAAATATAATATACCTATCGGAAAGGCTCAAATATCTGTTAATATATGTTACAGTATATTTACCAACATTTATACTTTTTTAATTTTATACAGTAGTTAAAATATTTAAGGAATTATAAAATTGTTTTATTAATTATTAGTAAATTCAGCCTATCACCTGCATATGAACCTATTCCGTCTTCCCCTCTCTCTCCTCCGCAAAATCAATATTGTGTCCACTAATTCTATCTTGAATATAAATTAAAAAATAGATACCACCCATGAATTTCGAAAATGTGGTTTGAGTTTTCTATTTAAAATGATATCCATTAATTCAAATACCATGTTAAATTTACCGACTTTTTTTTAAAGTTTTCTTTAATAGCTATGTTTACTATTTTACAAAAAATATTATGGACCAACTAATTTAACATTTGACTTTTCAAACTTCTCGTTTAAGAACGACACAAAGTACGAATAATACGATAGAAGGTTTATTAATATTTTAAAAACTATCTATTGATATAAATTAACAAATATATATATATATATATATATATATATATATTATATATATATAATTTTTTCAGGTTTAATAATTATTTAAAAAATAATTACAGGTTTCCTGCAGAAGACATGTAGGAAAGATGGAATCAGGGTGCAACTGTGGTACGTAAATTTGTTAATATAATTTTTTTGTTATTTAAATTGAGATGGATAAAAAAATAGCTATATGCTATGCTTCGAGCTAGTTGTAAAACTAAGATTGTTAAGAACAAAGGATTAATTTTTATCCATACTACGATATTTATTGTAATGGAGTTTATATGTATAAAACAGGATAAATGCAAAAATGAAATTTGAGTATATTTTTTGAGGAGGTTAGTTGAATGTTCTACATATCATAGGTGGTGCATAGTCAGGACGCAGTCATTTTTAAGGTTTTCATTGGTGCCAACGTTTCAGCCTAAACTTGAACCCACATCATCATCAGGCATGCTTCTGAGCACCCGAAAAAATATTTTCAGTACTGCAAACATACCTTAATGATGACCCACATACTTGGGTTGAATCCTGGATATCAATAAAAATCTTAAAAATGACCATGTAAGTAGATTTAAAAATCTCTCAATCTTATAGGTGATTTAAATAGGTACCAAGTTCCCAGCTGATAATCCAGTCAACAGCTGATAAACCTGTTTAAAGGTTTATGTTTTATTTTTTTATTCTACATAATAGAATTCACACAGATTCCTCTTACAATTACAAAATTAATATTTATTAAAATAAAATTCCCGAAATGTCTGTAAGATCGCGTCATTACAGACTTATAGCGTTGACAACTTGATAAAACAAAGCCTAAACTAAAACTTACTTTCTTACTTAATTCGAACCCTAATAGTTAATTAACTATCTTATTGGCGAAGCATTTCCTCAAGCTAGCACGTGGCCATGAGCTCAAACGGAGCGAAATCTGTCGCTAATCCCCTATAAAGAATTCAAGCCCTCGAGGACTTAGAGACTGTTTGAAGTAAAAAGTAAGCCAAGAGGGGATTAAGTTCCAACAATTTATCAGTTAATAAAGAGCTTCCTTAAATTGAATCTCAGGAACTCGCTGATATTTTAAATTTTCTTTGATAAATTAACATAAAGTTTATTTTGGCTCTTGTACACAGGCGGGGAGTCGAGAGGGGGAAATATTTCGGGCTGAAGCCCTCTCCCTCCCAAAATGATATAGTATAGCCGTTTCTTATGAAACAAATATTAAAACATTATCTCTAAAGTAATATTATTCGTAGAATTGCATGTAATAAGACTCAAGAATCACCTGAACACCATTTCATATAAGTTGATAGTTTCTTTCTTCTTCTTCTTCTTTTTCCATTGTAATAATCGTTAAATATATATATATATATATATATATATATATATATATATATATATATATATATATATATATATACATAAAAAAGCGTTCGGGCTAAAGCCCCCAAAATTAAATCTTGAATCCGCTTGTGCTCTTGTAAATAACATTAATCAATATATATAAATAACCTTTTAAAGAAAAATATTGGGATATAATTGAAGGTTGTGGCATTTCATGCATTGTTCTACTCATGCTCTGCTCGTTTTATTTTGTGTTCTGAAATTTAGAAAAAGATGCATGTAAGGTGTATTTATTAAGTTAAGTAAGCGAAGAATCATAGGTACTGCAATTTCCGAGTAAGTTAGAGCCAATGTCCAACGAACCTCATCCCAGTGTGCGCCGTCTTGCAGCATTTTTTCTTCTCATAGTTTCTCTCAGAGCGGTTCTTAGTCTTTTGGATGACGGAACAATCAGGGCGACTACTGAATATGGGAGAAATTGTAATAAATCGGTTACCTAATTCATATTTACAACTTTTTGCTATTTTAACAAGTAAAATAAATTAATTTGATTGATGGATAAATAAGGATCGATTTCTCATAAAGCTATTCAATTTTTTAATGTTACCCAGTCTAATTAACGATAATTTATTTTTTCACTAGTAGTAGTAACAATAGGCATATTTGAAGCAGAGGTATTCTTATTTTATTTTTTCCCTTAATGATAATTTTGGTTTGGAAAATTTCATCTTTCATTGAGGGAGGTATGGAAGGAATGAAAAGTTTCCTAGGATTTTATGAATTATTCGCATGTACCCTTACATTTTTATGTGAAGATTTTACCACATTTCAAGCATCGGAGAATTGAGAGTTCATTTCACTGTATCAGGCCTTTTAATGAAAACAAAAATAAATAATATATTAAATCGCTAACATATTATTTTTATTTATAGTTTGATATTATTCGCTGTACAATAATCATATTGATTATTTATATTAATTATCATTTATAATTAGGTGCAAATCAATTATAATATAAACTCCCTAGAATTTTTTTATTAGGAGATCCATACTCCCTCCCCCAAACTAGAATGTAAAATCGGCGCCTATGGTTACCAATTTTGTTTTCCTTTTTTTTTTCAGCAATTTACTGTTGCAAGTGTCCCACCAATTTGATGTTATCTTCCCTTTAGCGAATCGGTGATTCAAAATAATCTCTATAGATAATGTTCTTCTTTCAGTATGTGGTGTGTCAGGACGGAACCAGAGAATTGTCGGTGGTACCAGAGCAGTCGCCCACGAGTTCCCCTGGATCGCCACGCTGAGCTACAATGGAACCTTCTACTGCGGGGCATCCCTTCTCACTCCAAAGCATCTTCTCACAGCTGCTCACTGCTTATATGGGTAACTCATTTGGCTACTTTATTCCCTTTGTGGAGAGAGCGTGGAATATAGTTACAATTTATTAAATTCATAAAAAAGAACGATTCAGATACCTTGTATTAAAGCACTTATTCAAATCTGTGTTTTAAATCAATTTATGCTCTCTTACATAAGCTCTGAATCAACCCAGGAGTTATAATCACGATAAGCGATATTTATGGAATTTCTTCGTCGAATCTGATACTTTTTCTTTTTTTTATTATTATTATTTATTTTATATTTTATTGAGTATAACAACAATCTGTTTCTTGAACAGACACTTCTTAAGTCAAAAATTAAATTAAAATTAAAATAGGTTTCAATTTTTTCGATAATCCGCAATAGAACATCATATATCACCGATGTATGGATGATGAAAACATTTTTATAAAAAATCTATCGAGACTAAGAAATATTTTTGGTACGAACCAGGATATCAGATTTGACAAAGAATGATTCATAATTATTTGATATATACGATGACTTATTTTTACTGTAACGTATTTTTGTTTCAAAATATGTTTTATTGAAAGAAAAAAAAAATCTTTCAGGAAATCTGCTAAACATATCCAAGTTGGCTTGGGAGACCATAACAGAAACCAGGACGAGAAAGGAGAGCTGAAGAGGTTGAGGGTGAGACGGGCAGCGATGCACCCGGACTTCAGCATCTCCAAGATCAAGAACGACATTGGCATCGTCGAACTGGAGGCACCGGTAGGAGTACAGGGACCGACCATTCGAACAGTCTGTCTTCCTACTCACCGTAAGTTACCAATATGGAATAAGATGGCATTTAAAGTATTTCTTGTTTTTGAGTGTGAGTATATGCCATTTTCAAAACATATTAAATGGTAAGTGAGCTGTGTAATATAAACCAAATGGCCTAAAATGGACCCGACTTACTATCAATATTAACAATTTTCATTTAATTTATCAAAGTATTCATATGGAGTCGTTGACTTCACATGTATAGTCGATATTCAAAGTATAAATATTTACGTTATGGAATGATTTAACCGACCTAAAAATTTAATGACTTAAAATTCAAATATACTGCCATGACAGCAGCTTTCCTGAGAATAAATGTCCTTTTCGATTCTTTGTATCAATGTAAAATTTAAAACCATCCCTACACTAAAAAGATTAATAAATAAATATTAGAAACATAGGTTCTAATACGCAGCTCAAAGTGAAGTTTTTATTTAAAATCGTTTTCAGTATGTAGCATTATATGTATTTGAAATATTTATACATTACATATTTCGTCGGCACTATGTCAACGTAACGAATGAGCAACATTAAACAGGCTATGATTCGTAACTTTAACATGGTGCCGACGATATAATGAATACACTAACAATTCTATACCATAATAATTGTTAAGCAATAAGACAAAGTTATTCTAAACTCGTACTAATCCATTTTCTACTCACTCAATACACATTTATTTGGGTAGCAGAGCCTTATTTGTAGTTCTCTCACCTACTAATATTGTAAATCCCATCTATAGATATTTTTTTTTTTACTTATTAAAAATTTCTCTATTTGGTGTTCAAAGTACCCAAAAGATCATAGCTATTCCCCTCCATTTATTTTTCAAGTGATTTTTAGTTTGACGAAAACTAATTTGAATAACAATATTTTAATTTTAAAAACCTAAAAAAAAACGTTATAAGTATCCCATGGTAACCATATCACTTGAGAAAAGGAACATCTTTGGGATTTAAAATGCTGAGTTCGTTCTAGTTCCTTTGAAACGGATGTTTGCTGTTCGGTATAAGGTTTGATAACCATATCGAAATCTATTAAACACGATTTATAACGTCTCAATTGGTTGTATTTGTTTTGAAAACATCCATTTTTCCAATGATGTTTATTAAAGTTGTTGTAGATTCATATCCATATATTAGAATTCATAATTTCTCTATGAAATTTCCTTTCGTTTGATACCTCAGTTGTCAAAATCCATCGCTTGCCTGAGCCGGGAAAGGGATTAATACAACTTATTATTTATATAGAAGATTTACGTTTCCCATTTTATTCTTTTTATAATGTCTTAAGTAGCGACTTCTATTTTTTTAAAGAGGTTTATTATAGTTTTGGAGCTTCTTCCTTTGGTTTTAATCATATATGTAGTCCTAGCTAGTTCTTCTTAGATGTACTTGTTTGTCAGATATATCACCCACTATTCCTGGCAACGTTATCAGAAAGATAGAAACCATTAGAACCTGTCTCTCTTAAGGGATCGCTCGGAACAGTGGGCGGAATATCAGAAAAGACAAAAAAGATACCGCTAGGAAGAATTAGCCCGGACAAGACATACAAACTGGATTGTCCCTACTTGCCAAACTGGAAGAACATTCCTTTGCACAGCGGACATGGACTACAGCGGCCTGGAGGGAGTGGTGGCGGGCTGGGGGCGGGACAAGGAGCAGGGCACGGTGGCCACGGTCCTGAGGAAGGTCACCCTGCCGCTCATCAGTAGGGAGGACTGCGCCAACAAGTTCGGCTACTGCAGCAACAAGATCCTCGACACCAACTTCTGCGCCGGCCTGCCCAAGGGAGCCAAGGATGCCTGTCAGGTAACAAGTATAATATTATATACGACCAATCGTTATGATTTAATTTTAACAATAATGATTTGCTACAATGGAAACTCAACTAAATGTAACTCACTCTGAAAAAAGAAGTTAAATCACAGGACATCGATGAGACATATGCTCAACAGTTTTATCGGCGGCAACCTAATACTTTTAACAGACACAGTTTTCTCCCATTCTTTGCATTTTGGGCTGTACGTGGTTTTTCCGTGCCAGGACTGACGGCGAGGAGATTTATGGCAGACTTAAAAGTCCCTTCGACACCGGAATTCGATCTCGTAATGTTCGTTTTAGAAGGCAAGGCGTGTTTTACACATGTGTTATCCCTTTATTGCACTCTGCCATTCAGATGGCTAACCTAGGGCCTACGCGTCAAAAGGAAAAGAAATAACTTAAAATACTGACGGATCTACGAGGTATAGAGGGATTTTTCGGGGCAATATTCTACTCTCCTTCCCATAATGGAGCAACATATTTATTTTTTTTTATTGGTCCATATTTGTTTTTGGGGCGATCTATTTAAACATACCCCATCTTTAAATTGTAATGCATATACTTTATGCAGTACGTTCATACTTGACAGATCATTCAAGAAAAATTGTACCTGTAATCTCAATTATTGCTTATTTCTCATTTAACGTCCTTTTTAGTTCTTTAATACTTAAATAAATTGAACTTTTATATTAAGCACTGATCTTTATTACAAAAAGTTCATCAAAACATACATTTTAATCGATTTTTTTTCCAAAGAAATTTTATTGAAACTGTAAAAATGGACTTCTATTAAAAGTTTCAAGCCCAAGTTTGCGGTTTGATGATTTTATAAGAGTTTCTATTAAACGAAATCTACCGCAGGTTATTATCATTCAAACAATTTATTGTCAATCCGATTATCAATCATTTGTACAATATGAGAAAACTGAAGGCATATATTTATGTGTATATTATTTAATATTTTGTAGTTGAAAATATGCAGGTATCGATGATATCAGAAATTAAAAAAAAGATAGTGATAGAGAGAAAAAAAGAGGGAGAGTGAGGAGGGGAAAGACGAGCTTTTTGGGGCTTTACTTGGGCAAATATTTATAATACTTCCTCAAATTGAGAGGAATTGTCAAAAATATCTGTGTTTTTTCATTTATTTTCTGACAGCAGCATGGCTTGGACAATCTTATTTTATTTTTTTCATGAATTCCACAGAAAAATTTAATTCTTCCTAATTTTTTTATTTCTCCCGGCTTATATTCTTATTTTTATTACTATTTTTAACATTATTATTATATATTTTATTTCATCTCGTTTTTTCTAATGGCCACATATGCCCTAATACTTATTCTCCTTATGTGTAGCAGACTGTATTATTATTCAATAAAATTGAAGAAAAGAATAAATGACTCCACCAAACTGTATTGATTCTTAAAAGAAGTTTTTTTTTCCCATATAAATTTTAGGACTCCAGCATTTCCTCGGTACATGAAGCAATAATGAAGAATTTCATTTTCTCCTCCTAGAAATTCGTTTAATAAGGCAATGAAAATAGTGACCAGGAATGGGAGAAGAAATGTTAAAATCTGTATTAGTTAAATAAACAGGAAATTAAATGTCCTGGATATTCTCCGTTAAACGATTCTTGATAAAGTTCCAAGATCCCGTATCGGCCTCATTTTGATTTATGATTTATTAACACTAGAATATATTTTCTTATTTTATTTATTTTTATTTTTTAGGGAGATAGCGGAGGGCCGCTCCACCTTAATGCCAGCGGTGCAGGAAGCCACATGGAGTTAATTGGTATGTTTATGAAATTGTTAATTACTAATAAAATGTTAACGTTTTCCCGTTCACGACACTTTAAATATTAATAGTTATATTATCGAATACATCTTAGATCAGAATATTTAAATAAAAATATGCATATATCTAAAAAAATACTTTGCTACTACTACCCATGAAGAATCTTGGGTTCAGTGCATTGTTAGGAAGTAATGTTTCAAGGCCAACGGCTGGTTGTGCTAGAAGATATTTGGGCCAAGATCACGCTTAACCGCCATGCTTTTCTTTTTTATTAATTATTTAATTAAGAGCACCCACTTTATATCAGCTGGGTGTGCCCCAGAGGGGTCTCTCGACCTCATGGTAGACTCCACGGCTAATGAAACAGAATAAATAGTTATCCGCCACAGCCGGGTTCGAACCTGATACCTAGAGCTTAGCTCCCCAGTGCCTAACTTACTGAGCTACTCCACTATCTATAATCTAAGCAGTTTAAATTATATCGGTAAAATAAGTATTACATACTTGAATTAAAATATGTATTACACATACATTTTTGGATATGATAAGATAATGTAGATGCCGGATTTTGTTCTAGCATGTCGAATGAATGAGTAAATAGGGTATAGAAAAATCAAAAGGAAACAAAACTTATAAGAAAACAATTGAAAGATTAAAGTCGGTACACCATATTTAGAGATAATTTAATATAATTATTTAAAAGACTTATATGGTTCCTTACTCTTTTCGTCGACTAAATAGATAAAAAAATGCAACTCCTTACAGGTTTCGAAAGTAAATTTTACGGAAAAATAATTGGCATAAAAGTAGATTTGTCAACCAACCGGAGAATCTAGGGGTTAGTTAACATAATACGGAGTTTTTCGACGTTCAATTACAATAAGTTGTAACATTGTAACTATTAAAATAAGCTTGTGAATTTGTTGGATCTATGTCACGGGACTGAATCATTAAGAAGATAATCAGTTCTTAGCCAGTTAGCAAAAGCTCGTTGGTTGAACTGAGAAGTAGAAGGGAAGATAACATATTTTACTAGCGTGATCTTAATGCATTGATGGATTTACGAAGATACAATGTATATGGTAATAAACAATAATAATAACGGAATCATATTTAGTATCGTCTTCAACACACTGATTCCGTTTGTCCTTATAAATTCTTATATATTGGTATATCACGATGAGGCAATATTATTTATATTTGTTAATTTCAGCCAGTTCAAGAAAATATGTAAAATCATTACAGTTGTTTATTAATTGTTACGAATCATTTTTAATAAATGAAATTATGATTATTATTATAAAATAATCGAATAATTTTTATTTTACAGCAAAGGCTCCGAAACGATGATTGAAAATAAATTTTATAGAACTTTACTGATATTCTATGAATGCATTTATTTAAATTAGCGTGTTAAGATAATTAAGTATTGAACTTGATTTCATATATTTATATTTTAATGAATTCGCTATATATAAATAGATTATTGTAGTGATATAAAGTATATTCACTCCACGATACCATTAGGAAAAGTAACTTCGTGATGGAATTAGTTCCGTTAATTTCTCATAGATGGCATCGTCAACTGTTTCTTGATTATATTCGGATTGTCTTAGTTTATGGTTATTTAAATAAGGATAATTTTAGCTTTCATATATGGCAACAATGAGTATTGTATTGAAGATATATTTAATTTGAAATTTAGGTCATTTCCGTAAGGTTTTTATTCTTGAGATAGTTCAATGATGTATTATTAAAGGGGTATTTTTGGTCATCAGTTGAATATTATTATTCCCATTATAAATATGTGTTAATAAATTTTCTCTATTTGATTCTTTTCTCTATTTATAAATAAAGTGTACTTAATAAAAGATGAACAAATTTCATACTTTCACCTTTTAAGAACGTTCTGTGATTAAAAAAAAAGATAAATATTTTTTATAATTTAAAATAATTTTTAAAAAATTCCAATATTAAATGATAAATAAATTATTATAATGTTTAGAGTAAAAAGTTAAGTTCATTTGGAGTTAACATATTGATAAATGACAACAAATATAGCTTATCAATGTTATCATAGAAAAATCTTACCAATCTACAAATACTAACAAACGTTTGTTTTAAAACTTAGACTACTACACTTACAGGTCTTGGGTTCAATATATTTTTACAAAGTACTGTTTCTAGGCTAATGTTTTTTAAATATAATTTGGTCTCGCGCTACCGCCTGTTTCTATCTTAATTAAAAGTACATCTTTATAGAGGCTGGGTGTGCCCTAGGAGGGTTTTCCGATCCCAGGGTTTATACAACGGTGATATAACATAATTAATAATTGCCTACCTGACTCAGGAATCGAATTCGGCTTGTAAAAATATGATTTAAATCTTTGCTTTATTAAAGATGGTTCCTTCTATCTTTTTACTAAAATTTATGAAAAATGTGTATTGTTTTAAATGATATGTCGTTAATTTAATTGCAAATACCACGCCAAATATTAACAAGTATGGTTTAATGAATTAACTCTTATATTTATTGAAATATATTATATCTTATTAATTTAGTTCTGCAAAACTATTTTAGATTTGAAATGATAAACAATGAGATTCTTAAGTCAAAAGTAATTAGCTAAATTAAAATCAATCGGTGCGACATAGAAAGTAATTCTAGAATCTCCCTTATTAATAAAAAAGTATCCCCCTTTTTCTTTAAATCAATGGAGCTTTCTCAAATCGTCCCATTCATCAAAAGCTTTCCATGTTAATTGAAATTATTTTCCAATATAGAAGATTGAAAATCCTTAATGAAGAAGATTTAAATTATTTTTCAATCCATTAGCAATATTGGGAACAATAGTAGATTCATTTCAATCATATAAATCTTAGTTATTATCTATAACTATTATTTGATATTTACCTTAAAATATTTATAAACATATCTAATTAAAAGAAATCTGACAATTTACTAAATGTCTTAATAATATCCCTCTCCTTTCTACCAAAAAGTTCTAAAAAAGTTCAAATATCCGGAATAGGATAAAAAGAAGCTTAATTCACTTAAAATTTAAATAAAAAATAAATTAATTAGTTTGAATACATTCAAGGCTTATTTTTTTATATACTTATTTTACACTAACGGCGCCATTTAAAATTTTATAATGGGCCAGCTAGTTTTGATTGTAAAAGAAAACTCACGAGGCCTATTTTTATAAATCTGAAATTAAAAAGCACGTAATATTTCTGATCAACACCTTTATAATCTTTTTGAGATTCTTAGCGAAATAAAGTTTGCATAAGAAGTATGAAAAATTATCTAATTAATTAGCAAATATCACAATAGTTAAATATTACTTTTCAATATCCTATGGAGTAGTTATTACGAGAATCAACGTTTTTATTTTTCGTATATATGAAACCAATCCGATTTTTAAGTAACCATAAACTATTTTTAAATAATAATAAAAGCTTAGCGAACCGGAAGGTTCGATGCTGACACCACCAATAGCTCCCTCCACCGCTCGGCGTCCAAACCCAGCCCCTTCAGATCGGCCTTAATGCAATCTTCCCACCTTCGCTTCGGTCTACCCCTCCGACGTTTACAATTCGGTACAGCAAATATTAACCTTTTAGGAATTCGTTCGTTACTAAGTCCAACAATTTTACAAGCCCATTTGATTCGCCGAGATGAAATCACCTCAATTATATTAACCTAGGACCGGACACAGTTCACGCAACTCGGCGTTGTGTAACCGTCTGAACTCTCCGGTTAACTCATCCTTCTTCGGTCTGAAAAATCAACGTAATACTTTATTTTCAAAAACCTTAAAACGTTGCTTATACCTTAATGTTAAGGTCACGTTTCGCATCTATAAAGAACGGTATGTAAGATAATGGTTTTATAGATTTTAATTTTTAAGTTCCGGTACAAGAGGCGCTAGCTAAGTAGTTTTGTCTTAGAAAAATAACAAGCACAAAAGAATTGTAAGACACTCATAACGGATATAAATCTATTACTAATTAGAAACTCGGTACCTAAACAATTATCTCTTCCTCCGTACCAAATATTGTACTTTCCTACTCCTCTGGTCAGCGAACCTTTTGTAGAACCACGATATCCAAATTGTACCCATTAACCTCATGCACGACCGATTTGAACTCATATGCTGAATTTAAACTCTTTACTTTCCACGTACCAATACTTACATCCATATTTTTCAACTTGCGCCATGAATCCCATAAATCAGTCCCAGCCCGGAGACCCGAACGGTAGGACTACCTTCGGATTACTAAGTGTTTTACCTTAGGGAGATCCATGACTATTTTTGATGTCACAGGGAACTAAAGATATGTGAGTAGGGAGTTCAATCCTACGTCAAATACAAACTATTGTTAAAACTCAAATTTCAAATTATAAACACTTTTTTGGTAACATATTCATTAAAAAAAAATTTTTAAAAATGAGTACATTTAACTAGACGTTTTTAGACTCCATACCTCATTATGTCACACCACAAAAGAAAATTTTTTTTTTAAATATTTATCAACATGTTGCCTTTTGCCTAATCCACGATTTCATTTGGTATTAGCTCTTTATCTCAATTGACTAATTTATTCTCTGAATTGTAGGTATACAATTTGATAACTAATTCAATGATGTAATGTATAATAAAACAAAGAGATGTGAACCATACTTTAAACCGTCAACTAATACTAAGATGTTAGCGTAAGTAATTTATAAAACTAATTAATTAATATAATTTTAAATACCTCACTTTCAATACTTCGTCGACTTCTACGTTCAGATAAAAATTGAAAATAAGAAAAAAATTGTTTGATTTATTTAGGATATTATTGGAAAATTACCCCAAGCCTTTCTTATACAAATAAATAACTTAGCATTCAAGATTTCTTCAATTCGGACACCATAAGACTGAAAAATATAAGATGACATAAATGCTGAGCAAAGATAACACATCTCACATCAACAAAAACCAACTGAATGGTGATGGTACATCAATCCTGAACGTTTTAACATATTTTTAACAATATATAAAAATATGACTTCTTGAAGAGAAAAATTCTTAAGGCGCGTTTTGCGCTTTTTTGTGGAGAGTGATTTAAATTCAGCTGTCGGATTTTTCGATGTGTAACGTTCGGGTAAAATCTGCTGGAGCCGACTATTTACAGTGTTTTGCTTATGGATTAAAATATCTCAGAAAATAAAAATCAGACTTGCGTACTGTGAGCGAGGGTAAATGTTCAGCATTTCTTCCTCTTTGTAATGAGCTATTATTTATAATTTATATTTCATAATATTAATATAGTCTCGTTGATGTTTCCACTTCTACTGTGTGGTCTAAAGCACGCACCTAATTTTTTTTTAAATAAATCTTTTTAATGGTTTATTAATTTTTATAGTAAAATTATCACAATTAAATATATAATAATTGGAATACACAATTTCAGGTGTCGTTTCGTGGGGAAGAGGTTGCGCTCGGCCGAACTACCCAGGTGTGTACACACGAGTTGACAAGTACATGTCCTGGATCAATCAGCAAATCGGGTCGGAGTGCCTTTGCAGACCTCCAATGAAGAACTAAGTACAACTTCCCTTAGCTACTACTGAATCTAGTCTCTTATGAATCGAATTTATTATTTATTTTAGATGTAATTATAATATTATTTATTATTATCCATCCATAGTGTTTCTCTGAAGTGATATGTTAGATATTGTATAAGAGAGAAATCAAGGTACTATAATGTCTAATAAGAACAGAAGTTGTAAGCCCAGATAGTTAATATTAATCGATATAAAATTTAACGTGATCTGATTTTTTAAATTAAATTTAATCAAAGAAATGCATAAAATAAATAACGGCATATTTTTTAAATATCACGTTTATGGACATGCTAACTCACTTATACAAAGTATAGCTACATATAATATACCGGAAAACACACTCAGGAGGCTCAAAAGAAGCTGGATGAGGGATTTCCTCACTTAAAAAGACACTAAATTCAAGACAGGAAGGGATGCCGCTGGGCACTCCTCTCGATCAACCTGTGCTCTTACCGACAGCAGATTGTCATTGCTTACAACAGGTGTGGGTGAAGATATCAAGTTAAAAAAAATCACGTCTAGGCGAAATAGATTTTATTAACAATCTTGGGAAAGGTCATGATTAGAATCCTGTAGAAAAAGTTACCTTTTACTGCTTAATGTTACCTAAATTGTCTTAATTTTTTTTTTTTAATATTTCATTATGAAGAAATACTTCTTCACCATATATGGTGAATGATAGCTATAGAAATGGGGAAAAAATCAAGTTAATTTTTTTTTCCTATTGGCATTACGGGCCATGTAGATTTTTTGCCGCCTTAACATGCTTGCTTGAATACTTCTTTCCATTTATCTGCACGCAGCTCTATTGCATCTTTGTTGATTCTGTCTATCCGTCTGCTTTTTTGTTTTCATTAGTCCAGTTAATCATTTAGTGGGATATTTCGAAAATAATTTTTAATTTAAAACAGAATATTCAGTTCATTCATATATACTCGTATATGTTTTTAAATGGTTTATTATTTACAACATATTTTTTACTATAGCCTCTACACTTGTATTAGAAAAAACAATCGGAATGGTTATGAATTAGATGCAACGATAAATTATTTTTTTTTTTAATTTGAGAAGGTTCTTTTACATGTTTTTATTTTACGTTTTAATTTTATTAATATGCAAACTTGTTTAAAACGATAATAATGTAACAACAGGAAATCGGATATAGTTTTTTTAATTAGTGTTTAATCGACAGTAAATTAATGAGAGATGACTTACATAAATATTTTTAAAATATTTTATGATAAATTTATAATTAAATTCTCAATCAGCGAATTTTTGAATACAGGTTTTAAAAGTTTAAATAAAATGGTGAACATGTGCAATATTTCTTTCAGGACTTGTTTCGATTAAAAAAAAATTTTTTTTAACCTTTTCTTCGGTCTTCTATTATTTTTCGGTAACATTTAGTAGTCAAAATTTTAATAACTTTTTCAGTACAAATTGTCAAATTATTTGTAATTTTTCTTCAATTCCTTTACAGCGAGTCTATATATGTTCATCAACTACCGTTGTGTATTATATTATTTCCAGCATTAGGATATGTATTTTAAAAGTTGTTGAAGGCATCACAATAACTCGTTATTTCTGAAAAATTTGCATGGTCTTTTTAGATAATGCTTATAATTGTATTGGTATTTCAATAGGATTGAACTATTATCGCTATGTACTATAAGGTTAAATTAAATAGGAATTTATCAGAAAAGCTAATGGGTTGTGCAAACATCAGTTTTAATGAATTTCCAACCGGATGGCCTGTGTCTGAAACAATCGCGGTTCCATTCCGTCCACTGAGGCCGAACTAAATGAAGTTGCAATAATGCCCTGTCAATAGCTTTCCGGCCTCAGCGTTATTCTGTATTGAGGCCTCCATCAGGTAGAGGCCTATAACACTATACCCATATAGTTTATATATTATATATAATAACATTGCTGCTGTGGGTCCATTAGTTAAAGGAATTTGTTATAAATTATAGTTGAGAGATAATTTCCAAGCTTTATAGGAACAGGCTTTTCGAAAACTATATCGAGCTATTAGTGGTCTTAGCAGATAGATAGTCAAATTAAAAATACACAAATTATTTAAACTTAAAAAAATAAATAATTTTAAGAATATTATTTTATTTTTTCAAAGTTCGTTTTAAGATAAGAGAGGAAATTATATGTCAATATAAATAATTATATATTTATATTTATCCAATAAAATATTTATAAATAATTTATTTGATATATAAATAGAGAGAGGGAGAAATGCTAAGACAGCTTTAAAAGAAGGGTCTTGCAGTCTCCCCGTAAATAATTTTAATAAATGTTTTGTAGAGTTCATTAAAGTTTGGTCTAATAAATTGTTGGCCAGTTTGCTTTTACGTAGTTCTAAAATAAGCACTATTTTTTTGTTTTTTTTTTAACAATAACAAGTACTGTGTATTATCTCGAACATTTTAGTTATTTTTAAAATATAAAATAAAGTATATAATTATTATCCCTAATCCCTATCTTCCAACCGATTATTTGTAAAATTAAATGATATATTCTTATTTATTTTCCTGTAAATTTTTATTTTAGACACACAAAAACTTCTATATTTCCATTTCATCATATTAATGTTAATATTATCTGATGAATGATATAAAAATGGAGAACTACAACACATCTCATCACGTATTAAGTTATAATTTTAATTGAATAGTTATAATTTATGTCGCATACATGTTTATTTAATTGTAGTGTAGTAGTCATTAGAAAAATTAAAATTATTTAGATACGTTAGAAAATTTTCTTTAAAACACATGTTAATGTCTTAAATTCTGTTTGACCATAGAAATATGTACTGTATTTTGATGCACTGTAATTTCTTGTGTTATATATTTTGGAATATCTGTGATAATAATTATAATGAAATATACATATATATATTAATTAATTTTCTTGATTTTGTTTAATCATCCAGTATTTTACCACACCCTATGTTCCTATTATTGCAATTTTAGTTTATATTCAAAAATAATTGTACGTAGAAAGATATTCTTGGATTTTATGAATTGTTCATGTGCACCTTTCGATTGTCCCTGAAGATTTTTCACATTTTCTGCGACAAATTTGAAGCAACGGAAAATTGAGAGTTCATCAAACCTTTAAATAGAAAATAAAAATATGTAATATATTCAAAAGAGTTTTAGCATATTTTCAAATATACCTATACGCGAAAAACAAACTAAAACAATATTTAAGCATTTATATACATTTATTTTTAAATATAGTTCGTTTTAAAATAATTATATTAATTACTACACAGAAGTTTTATACATAATATGAACTCCCGATAGTTTTTTTTTGGGAGAGGAGAAAAGGGGAGGAAGTATAAGGCGCGTATACATATATACACTCACATATACATACATATATACACTCATAATCACTATAATGCACACCACAAGAGTCGAGCTTGTTAACTATCTGGTGTTCATGTGTAAATTTATGTGTTGCTTATCGCTTTTATTAAAAACTTATTTTTAGGTTAAAAAATTGCTAACAACACATAAAGCATTGGTAATTCCAATTAAAAGCCTTAAAATGTAACACAGTTACAGAAAAGGGCTTTAATAGCCCCACACTGTAACAAATGGCATTATTAAAATTATAGTAAATTTGGGATATGAAAAAATTAAATTCAAAAGGTGAGATTCACAATGAATTTTGGATGTGATAGGTTAAAAAATAACAAATGAACTTGAACTTGATGAAAAGTGGTCCTTCGTGGTTCATTATTTATTCTGGCCTTCAGCTGTCTATATTTTTCTAAAAAAATGTTTACATAATATTTTCGTAAATACTTTTAATATCTACTCTGCGAAGGAGAAAATCAACATTTCTTTCAGAAATTGTAATCCTAGATGAAAATACAAAAATTTTTCCTTCGTGCACAGCTTTGTGCTCCACTTAAGGATATTATCCAATTGTTACACTATTCAAGCCACGCGGCATGTGTAATGTTATTAGCTGTGTTCTCAAGATGCCTGGAGACGTACTAGAGTTCACCTTGACACATCTTAACTAATAATGAACGCTTTTGTAACAGCATTCACGCTTACCTATGCCTGTCTTTGTTGTCATCTAAAATATTGAAAATCTTTAAAGAAAATAATGTTTAACTACACTATCAGGTGCCAATGTGCCAAGACGGATTGTATAGCGAAAAGAGGACATTAAAAGAACTTCTAAACCAAGAAAAAAATATCTAAGGGCGCCACATATTCGGAAGAGCGGCATATATGAATTTATTGTAAGTACTAAACACAAGCGCAGCATTGTGTTCTCTATTTATAGTTACTGCATTGACATCTAAGCTCGTAGCTTGTAGCTTATTCCAAATGCAAGACCGAGACGAGTCTTGGTGTTGCATACTCAGTCTTGTTCTTGATCTTGGTCTTGCGCAAGAGTCTTGCAGGTACCTATTAGCTTATTATTATAGAGATATTACTGTGATTTTTTAAGTCCGAACGAGAAATTAGGATAGTTAAATGCAAAAGTATATTGGTTATACCAATTCTTTATATATAGTGACTAAAATTGTCAACTATTAGTAACTATTTTGCCTTAATTTTTATTAAAAAATGGATTTTTTTTAACAGTCTTGGTCTTGGTCTTGCAAAAGTGCAAGACAAAGACCGATTATGGGCAAAACTAGTCGCTTGTTTGAAAAGATCGGTATGCTGCACCTTTATTGTTTGTATATAATAAATACAACTAATGCCTTGTCTTAGGCCATGGAACCCGGAAAAAATTATAGTAGCAACAAATAAAAAACAAAAACAAATTAAAAATTATAATCAGTGACAGTTTGATAGCATTTCAACATTCTGAAATAAATTAACTAGAAAATAAAAAATGATATCCACATCCTCAAATTAATAGCTCACACTTTATTCTATATTTATTTGTATTATTTTTTATAAATGATAATATTTATTTTTACATATGCCGACGTTTCGACCTGAAGTTCAGGTCTTCATCAGGGCTTATATTTATATTTTATTGGCAAGTTCCTAAACTCAGCGCTGAGCTCATCGATT